GACCCACGCGGTTTGGGGGATATGGAATGGGAACACTGGGGAGTTAAGTGGAGTAAACTGACAAACAGGAGGATTTCCCAGAAAGACCCCCCCCCCCCCCCCCCTTCCCCAAAATCCAGGGTAACATCGAACGTTGGGGCCCACACCAGGGGACTGAGCAGGGTAATATAAATAAGGGGAAAATCCGGTAATATCCCCCTACTTAGAAACAGTTGTGGCGGACTTCCGCCTTCAATATCTACGTTTAGCTTAGCTTGAAGCTGGCATTGCAGTGCATGTATCCGCCCTATTCAGCTCATTATATCTTTACTCGATAGATACGCGTCGCCGTATCTTCCGCTCTTTTCTTATCTCGCACCTAGCGAAGGCTGCCTTGGTGTTAACCAGGCTGAGAGCCCGCGCTAGTGTCCTTAGGCTACTGGGGGAGATCGGACAGTAATATCTACTTGGTGCTTAGTTGAAGGGCCTTACAATCCTTTGGCATTTGGCCCCAGCTACCGGAACTGGCTTCATCAGAGTCCGAGAGCAGCGGAGGGCTCCTCACTGCATACTTTGGAGGTGAAAGTAACAGTGAACGAACCGGTGGAGGAGGCGCCGCAGCGCCTGTATTTACCAGGAGTCAAACAGGAGGAGGTGATCTAGGTGGGGTAGAGGGTCCCAACTTTGGATGTCATAATGATTAAGTTGAACATCTCGACTTTCTTGCGTCCACTTCGCAATTCGTTAATTCCAAATCGGGACAGAAGTTCCATGTCGTGGTTCGCTGAGTTATGAACGTCACGTAAATCTCCATATGAAAGCCATTTGGAACATTTACTCCGTTTGCCACTATGTTCCTGTTAGGGTAGTGCTTGTGACCGAAGTAAACTAGTTTCAATCCCTTTGTCCCATTAATGCGGATTTGGCTCGTAACTCCCGCAGCTGCCCCTGCGAGTAAGGGCAGTCTAAGTGGGTGCTAGAACGTACTTAAGAAGGGGGCTACTCTAGGTAGACTCGGGCACGGTTCCGCACAGACAAACTGCCAGCGAGGTTATTGTAATATACGAAGACAAGAAGAGAGAGAAGTATCAGGAGAGCATGTAATCCTAACCCCGCACGCGTCGGTGCCGCCTTCTCGAAACGACCCGTCTACATCTCAGCTTTGGTAGGGTCCCGGGGCGGGGCTGGGGGGGCTACGGCCCTGTATGCTATTGGCTGGCCCCGGTCAAAGACCCAGCGTCGAGGACGGTGGTCGTCGGATTGCTGGCTATGGTACATTTGGCCGGATCGGCATGCCGGCTATATGCGGGGGATGGGAGGGGGCCAGTACTTTGGGAAAGGAAAGGGAAAGATGGAATGCCCTTCAACCAACCGAGCATGCGGCTCCTCACGGCACAAGAATTTGCTCTAAAAGACAAAAAATTCTGGAACTCATTCACCTTTTGGAAAGGTCATTTTCTGGGAAGTCTCTGTAAGCAGCGATATCAACATCACCAACAGAATCATCTTGACCTGCAATTTGTGGTGCCTGAAAAACAAAGGGTAAAGACATTCGAGCTTACCGATACCACCAGAGCCCGCATCGATAGATGATACTGAGCTCCACTTTTCCTGCAATTTGCAGAGCTCCTCTTCCTTTTTTTTGGCTTTGACCCTTAACTTTGTTGCGACAACATCAGCTGCAGTGGTAGCGGCAGCTTCACGACTTCGGCGCTCTGCAACAATGCGAGCAAGCCTAAACCAGGGCTATGTCAGCAGATGTTTATGGTGGACTTGCAAGGATTCATGGACGTCAGGATCCACACTGTTCGAGTTGTGCATCGCGCAAACGCCCACTTGTCGCGTGTAGTTCGCATGCATGCGCAACAATGGCAGGCGCCTGATTCACAACGCTCCCCAAACCTGCACCCAGTAGCGCGAGCGGATTAGGCTACACACCTCGTTCAAAATGGCATCACACCGCGCTACAAATTCCTCAGGTAACACGAGCAAGGGGAGTTTAAATAGATCATTTAATTCATTGTTGATAGCAAACCAATCAAAAATTTTGCGAGAAAAGCACAATTCGTCGACAATAGATCCACTTTTGTTGCGTGATAAGTTGGCCTTTGTTGACTCCGAAGATGCTCTCTCAAGAACGATGACTGCACCTATTCAGAGCATGCTCGCGCAATCTAAAGAATGATGATGACCCGGAGTAATACAATGCCAGCGAAGCAATTGATGATCTGGTCGCATGTGAATTGCGGAGGCAATAGCTCGAGTTGCCCCAGAAGCTTCACCTGCGCCATGCAATGCACGTGCGCGCCAATGATCCAGGTCTGCACGACTGGATTGAATAGCTGTGCCTCTAACATATGCGCCTGTCAATTCCACGGGTGATGATTTCGCGCACGCTAAGTAGCCAGCAGCTGCTTCTGTCATTCTCCCTTGAAGGAGACGCGAGTGTGCCAAATTCACAGTAGAGTCCCAGACGAGGGCACTAAGGAGGGCTATTTCCTGGCTGGTTGTTTTCATACTAGTGTTCGGAGCGCCAGATGTACTGGAGAGACCGCTTCCAAGGGCGTCCTCTCGGATACGTTCAAATACAATAGCAGCATCGTCCAACTGGCCCTGCTCCAATAAAACAAGACCAAGAATATGCGCTGCCTGAGCCAATAACTAGTGAAAGAGAAAGCTATTGGAAAATAGGAATCACGCTGAATTATGGACCGCAGCACACGATGGTGTGTGACGAAGCACGAGACGTGCGTGGTCCGCGGCGTGTTTGAGTTGTTGTGCACGACTCGCTGTACATGCTCCCGTGTCAGCACCGTTTTTTGTGAGCATCCCATCAAAGTAAAGCTTCCCAAGTGTAACATTTGTATAGCTATCTTCCTTGTCCCGACTCTTGGTGCATATGCTACGAAGGCGCTGAAGTATACCCAGAGTCAGATTGTCATCTTTCAGCTCCCACTGTACAGCGCTGGCTACTGCTAGAGCATCTGCTATGCACTCAAAGTGATTTGCGTCTCCTTCCGTTGCAGCCGAAACAGCCGAAACGCAGTCAATTGCCCTGTCAACATACACTTGAGCTTGGTTGATCTTGTTTGCGCCCAGAGAGGTGCGTGCAAGAAGCAACAAGGCGCGCATACTATTGGGGATCATTGTTAATGCAATTTCAGCGAGTTCACGAGCTGCCGTGAAAGTCCCCGCGGCTGCATGAAGCTGCGCTAAATTGACACACATCGTCGGGGCCAAGCTTACCGGCCAGGACCTGTAATTAGGCGGCTGAAGCCTATACAAAGGTTGCCGCATCGAAGAATCGATTGCGTGTCGAATTGGTTCACTTAACTCAATTAAAAATTTGCCCGGCAGTAATGCAATCTGCTCGTGTTCTTCACCAAGGCCCTGCTTAGAAGCATTGGAGGCGTTTTTTTTCACGCCAGAAATAATCACGTTCAGGTCATTATTCCCGATTTTGATTCGTTCACCAACACTAAGCGGTGGTACAATGGGTGTATTTGACCATAGATTATGTGCGTCATGCTTATCAACCTTCACACCCTCACATATGACACGATCCCAGCACCACAGTGGCGCATTCTCACTCTCAGCTGTGCCAAGTGGACCAGACCCAGAGCTTGAGGACGTAATTTCTCGCTCTCTTCGTTGATCGTCGAGCCCGTGCTCTTGTTCGCCAGTACAGAGCGCTGCAAGAATTATTTTGGTTGCTGATCTAGAATTACCTCGCTGGAGCTGCAGGACACCCATATTGTTGCTGACTTGATGCGGAACGTCGAATCCGCGCTTGTTCCCAAGCTCATCGGCAATTTTATATGCGCTAATCGCCATTTCAACTGAACTGACTTCATATTCAGTGCCTCGTAGTTTGAAGGATGAGCGCTCCTCTGCGACAGCCAAAGCCAACCATGCAAAATGATCATCTTTATTTGCTTTGACGGCCAGGTGTAGAACTTGGCGTGCGG